ATTCAACATCTCCTGTCGCATGTCACGCGAACTTCAGGCATATATTTGTTTCACAAATTTGGGCGGAGACAACGTTAAAACTTTTTTGGCATGCTCCCTCTTAACGTCTCTCTCCATTGTAACTAGCATTAGATGAGGGTTAGCAGTTCACAGCTGGGCTGCAGCACGTGATCATCAATTTATCATTGACATATTCATGCAATATCGTCGTTATACTGCGATTAACAGTCATAATTTTTATAGAAAATAACGTACTATAGGAAAACGTTGCATAATTGTTTATATAAAACGCAAATATACACATCAAAAGGTCTATGGATCACGCACGTTTTTGCCAATTAGTGAAAATCCATTTTTTTCGTTTCTCTCTTCTCTTTGTCCATTTCATAATTTAAAAAATAAGTAACTAAATAAATAATTTTTAATACATTTCTATAGACATCTTTATTTCACTTTAATAGCGTAATCAAATATTTGTAAAAACTACCATTGACATCTCCATTTATGAGTAAATAGTTTCGTTAAAACATAAAATGTGAAATTATCCGCTGCAAACAAACGTGGATGACCATGGTATTTGTAAGAAATCTTCGTCGTTGAATTTTCAATTGCATTAATTATAAAGTAAACTTTTTGTGATATGTCTTTTTCCCGGTATTACGGCGATTTAACAAATGTTCGCTCTTAAGGGTAAAGGAACAAGACCGTACTCAGAATAAAAATGCTGAAGGTACGGCATCGGCAGACGAGGAACAAAGTGATAATAATATTATTAGAGTTGCAACGAATATTCGGTTACTAATCGGCTTATTATATTAACTGCCTCCGTGGTCGAAGGGTTACCATTCTGGTCTGCCAGGCTTAGGTCCCGGGATCGATTCCCGGGCCGGCAGAAATATTTGTATGGTTTTTAATTCATTTCTCTTGTGACTTTGGATGTAACTTGTGGTGTTTATGTGTGTGTCAATGGCACCCGCGATACAGGGTTTCCCTAGCTTTCTATGGGTATGTGCGTTATCATATTATTATTCGGCCTATTTTTTGCCATTTGGCCGAATTTCGAATACCATGATTCGAAAAACCACTATACTACTATATATTTTTTATTTCCTTCTCTAGTTTTTAGGTGCTACTCCTGAGTAGGACATAAAAACAGGAGGCGGAAATAAGAAAAAATACAGTAAATTATCAATATTATCATGTAACATTTATTAATGCTGAACATACATAGTAAGTTCGGGAAAGTTAGTTGCTTCTTATCTAAAAGATCAAAGGAAATGTAACATGACGAAGTTAGTTTTTCAAGAGCCTATAAAAAGTATC